AGTGATGTGAATTTTAAAATCATGTAATGTTTTGTGTAACCATAATGCTGTGTTACATATTTTAGTTGATTGATTCTTTAAATTGTTTCTAGAATTATGACTGTCACGCCCACAGCGATGCCGATATTTTCGTTTATTTTGTTTAGAAATTCGAGACCAATTTTATATCTGTCAATTAACTAGCAATAACTTAAGTTTCAAGTAGAGTGATACGATACGTTGACCTCAGTTGTTCGGTCTCAAGCAATTCGTTGATTAGTCTCATTCAATTGAGTTTTTTTATTAAGAGATTGGTATTGAGTGTCTAATTTGTCGCCAAGAGCAATATCTTTACACTTTTTTACGAATATTGCGAATCTATATTACCACAGTCGACTGCGGACAAAAACTAGCCATTATATTATTGTTAGTTAGTAAAAGTGGATCGAATGTAGTGCTCTAGAGAAACCTTGGTGCTCTCGTGTTTTTATATAATATTACCCGTTGTTTAGAACATTACGATCCGGAATCACGCATACGGAACTGTTATTAGTCTGTTCGTGTTGTTTGACAAAGATTATATTTTGGAAATCAATATTATTATCGCGTGAGGCGGTCGGTTTTTGAAAGGATTATTGCCATTTATGGTCTGGAGTGCTCTCGTCTTGTAGACATTACACTGATTGATTTCTGAACTGATTTTGGGCCATGAGCTTGCTACTATTTAAATTTTTTTTTTTGTTAAATCTCATTGCAGAAAATTTCTAAATCCTAAATTGACATGACTTGAGCATGTGGTTCTTAGAAATTCAGCGTGATCTCGATTCAATCTATTCCGATCGTAGGTATATCATCTAACCGCTGCAAGCTCCCAATAGCAGTAGTGGTTCTAATATCTGTCCAGATTCCGACTGCGGCTGCATACCGAGAGCTAGCAAGTGCTAGACCGCTGCGTTCCTGTCTGATGACGTCATACTATTTACCAACTCTATTGATCCCGTATTCAATTGATTTAAACATTCATTCACTATATTATTGATTGCGTGACGTGTACGCACTAGTACGTATTTTGAATTAATTGGGTCAAGTCAACGCGTTAAGGGTTTGGTATGTGATACGTTTGATATGTCAGTGGGGCAACGAATTGATTATGTAATTTGTGTAGTCGATAAATATGGGTGCAATAACCTGACTTCTATTTGGGACGAAGAGTTATGTATGACCGGAATTCATTTTAGCAGATTCGTAGGAAGCTTTTGCAAACAGAGTTTCTTTGCTTAGTCTACATGGTCACTATCCTTTTGAGCAGTCTGGTTCTGGGTCGTTACTGATCTTTCATAGTACCTCTAAGCGGCATAGGTACCTTTAATAGGGCATGTGGTGTAAGCAAATCCAGCAAGTATTTTAACTTTTTCCTCACTTTTAGTTGACTGTTTCCTCGAATTACTCCTTAATTCACTGGCGTTTCAACATTGAGTAACCTTTCGGGAATTCAATTAAGTACGGTTTAATCTAGACAAGTTTGTTCCAGTATCTACGCTGTCTTGAGGGATAGGCCGATTAATTATTTAGATAGAACGCAAAATTTTCAAGAGAATTTTTTCACTGTCTTCTCATTTTTCAAGTTACAAGACAAAAGAGATAAAAAAAATTACTACTTTTTTCCTCGTTGATTAATCATTTATTTATAACCGTATTAACCTTTTCAAGTTTTAGAAAAAACGATTAAAACCTTTCCAGTTTCTGAACTCGTGACCCGTTATCTAGTTTTTGACTGACCTATTCAGCACACATGTGATAATAAGAACTTCGTTTGTCTGAATAGTTTTTCGAGCTTAGCACTCTTCTCCAGCACTCTTCTCCTTCTTAACGAGGATGAAAATTGGAATATCTAGATATTTCTTCAAGCCTCCAAGAAACGAGCGTACTCCTTCTTAAAAGGCCGGCAACGCACCTGTGACTACTCTGGTGTTGCAGGTGTCCATAGGCGGCGCCAATCGCTTACCATCAGGTTATCCGCCTGCTCGATTGCCTCCTATTCCATAAAAAAATTCTTTTACTCTGCCTACTACCGCATTAGTAGTGTATATTTATATTGTCATTTATAAAGCCTCCTATTCTTTTTACAAAGGTCGGAATTGTATTCTTTCACGCACATGATTTAAGTACATATTTATTTAATGATCATTATCTTTTATTGTATTATCTGGCTAGGTCTTCTCTGTACCTTCAGCTTCGTCCATTTCCACCGCCTATTATTTAGAATGCTCTTCAGCATTAGCTTTATGCAAAGTTTCATTTATTATATTTATTTTACTTGGTTGAATCAGCTCTTTTAATGTGTTCGAAGAATGTCTATGTCTTGTTACAGAAGTTTGTTGTCTGAGATGCATTTTATTAGTATCAATATAATTAATTTCGCATAAAGCCTTTTTGCTGTCTATTTTTGCGTCCAGTTGCCATGAGCTGTTATTCTGAATCATTCTCGAATGGCGCCAAGGTTCCTTGTGCTTGTGTACACTATTTTTCATTATGTTGACTAATTTCTGCTAGGACAAGCGTTGTATTTAAATTTTCTTTGAGACAGCACATTTTTTTATGACTTGGTTTTTTGAAGTCACTTCTATAATAATGTATTACTAAGAATTACCTGATTTTCATTCCAAAGAATGGGTGTACAACATTCCATCAAAAATATTCAAAGTTTCCGACGATACCAATGTCCAAGTTGGTGTCCAAAATGTCCTATAATGACTGGAAAATAGGAAATATTATTTCTGTCTCCTGCTCTTTATCCTTATCAGTAATATTGGTTGATCCACACTTCCCTAATGGAGACAATGGATGAATTTATACTTAAACTAAGATCCCACGCAAATGAGAGTTAAATTAAGGAAACTAGTAATTGAATGACCTGAGCTAGCATCTAGCAGTCAACCTACTTAGTCACTATGACCATATCTAGCCAAATTGAGTTGCAGGTCAGTTCAAATTTGCTGTTATTGACGTCAGATTATCATTATAGGTTTCTTTTTTGAGGTGGGAAAACCATCAAATGACTTCTTTCGCCTTGGGTGGGTTGACAGGGTCCTTCTGTCCATTCCGCAATTTTTTTGTTCTGTGTTTGTTTTTCTACCATCGAAATATGTTCTGTAGTTGATCCATTTACATATTATGATTTATTACAAACCTTGACGATCATAATACCAGTAGGATATGACATAGAAACAAGCAAATTTTACGACATATTGTAACACATCAATAAATGTTCGTGTCTACAGCTTTAAAGGTCTTTCTCGACGCTGTCTAGACTGCAAATCGTATGTTAGCATGTTTTATGCCTAGCTCGATTTTATCTCGAGCTGTCGATGTATGCACTCGCGATATATTGCCCATTTAACACCAGTCAGTTGTTTGAACGACGCACTGTCTTGTTGCTCTTGTTTATATCCAAAGATATGACGAGCTATACATTTTTGTTGAGCCTTTTAGCTATAAAATACTTCATAAGATTATCAGAAAGTGTGTGAAAATTAACCTACCTAATTTGTGTTATTGGGTGTGTGTTGAGCACCTATTCCACAGATTACCTAATTCATATCCTTCTTCTAAAAAAAGAAACCACTATCGAGAAAAAGCACCACATTGAATATTGCAACACTAAAAGTTGTTAATTGATTCATCAAAAGTTCCGAAAACAATTGTTCTGTCCATTTTCGTATGTTATAAACTAAAATCAAGTGAAAGACGTACTTTCTCTAACACGATGAGCACCAATAAGCGCGTAGACCACACTTTACGGGCAATAAATGCGATCTTTAGAATTGGACTGCATCGAATTGAGTGTTCATATTGAAAGGAGAAAGGGACGATTAGCTGGACTGTGTGTAGTTACATCTAGTAATTAGTTGGGCATTGATACTAATGGACTTATTCACTAGAATAATAAAAATGAAAGTTTGGTTCGTAATCTGATTAGACTTGGTCAATCAAAGTCCTAGAAACTCGGTGTTCCACCTTTAGCTCAACTTGAATATGATAAAGAACTTCTACTATCCATTTAGTGTTGGCAAATGTGTACCATACAATCAAGTTGCCATATTTTCTTACAATACTGTACTGGTCTTTTGTCACAAAGATCTATTTACAATAACAGAGAAAGCTTCTACCAGAAACCAGACTCATTGAAATGGGTATTTGATTCCTTGAGGATTTGCATATAGCATAACCTAGTAGCTATAAATGTTTTGACGTCAAGCTATGCACCTATATTTCAGCCTAGATGGAAATTTTCTATTTTACATAAGCGTAGAACCGTACCATATTTACGATGTCGTATCGATCGTGTCTGTGTAGCCTTTATTACCATACTTGAATATTCCATAACCGTTCATAAAATCTATTTTTGTATGGCTATAAGATTCTATCTTACTTACATATTGACAGTTAGAGAAGTTTCTAGAAGAACAAACAACAATTGGTATTTTACCCTGAAAAGGAGTTGGAATTAATCAGAGGTTGTTGCGAAATTTCGCCAGATTTAGAAGGCTTGTATCTAAGAGTCTCAGGACCAAGTTTTTAACAAGGTTCTTTAAAATATTTACCTTGCTTAAGTTTTCAAGTGTTTTGCAAGTTGAAATTTTGATAGGTACTCTTGAAATTGCCTCGGTCTTAACAGTCTCGTTCTAAGAAATAAGTATCTTTGAATGATATCAAAATACTCGACCATTACTCTTATTCAGCAAAGTTCCGCCATATTGGGTTTCCTAATGGTTGTCTCGTTTTAAGGCGTGTGTACGTATACCTACCGTCCCAGATGTCAAATGTCTGTATTACATTGTTCTGTGTTTAATGTTTGTATAGCAAATGTATTTAAGATTAAATTATTAGGGCGTGAACTTGTGTTATTACGCATTTGGCCTATAAAGATTGTTATTATATGCGACAATTACATATTGACATATATTTTTAAATTAACTATATAACGGTACTCTGGTCTAAATTATTTTATTTTTTTCCAGCGTCGCAGGAAGCCTTAGATCGAGCACGACTAGCCCGCGAAAGACGCGAGGCAGAACAGAGGAAACGTTTGGACGAGTTACGCGCACACGCAGCCGCTGCGCAAGCGCAGAGAGAGAAAAGAGACGAAGAAAGGCGTCGGAGACAGGCAGAGCAACGCGCTAAGGATGATGAGAGGCGAGTACAGGTAAGATTAATCGGTTTAACATGTATATGCAATACAAACAAACACATACTCCGAAAATTCCAGAACATACTCTTCATCTTAAATCAGTTGAATGTGAAATCTTATCCTTTAATTGATCGATTGGTTAACCACAAATCGATGACCAGTGTGCCAAATAAATATTTATAAAATGGTTACTATTTTTATACACTTTGTAAATGTTAGGATCGAAAAATTACAAAACTGGCATTTGCGTTTAATTCGTGTTCCTAAATGAATTGCTATCGAAGACGACAACTGTACAGAACGTAGCGAAGGGTCTAAGTCTCTTTGACAAATGACGAAAGGCACGCCCTCTGGAATAACATTAACGTTTGGAAGGGTCGAACAAATTACCGACTTGCTTATCTTTGATAAAATCTGGCTTGATAAAGGATATAGAAAAGTATATAGTCGTGTAACTTAAGGTGCTTCCCTTTCTCGTTTATAGCGCAATGTTTTTTTTTGTAGTGATGAATCAATTTCAACCAATCCAGTTCCAAGAATTCCCCCTTTCCGATTGAAAAGAGTAAATAATCATCGATTACTTTCTGATATATCTACTGTACAGCAAAGTCAATGCTATTGCAGATTTCCATAGCTATACTGGCAACCACTTACGGCAAAGTGGGCCGACAAACCACCATTTATGAAAGAACTTGATGACAACGATGTTATGATTCCACTCAACATCCCGACCGCTCCCATCCAAGGCCACTTAAGCCAAAAAGCATAGCGAAACTCTTGAAGCGAATAGTTTCACTAAAAACATGTATTTTACAATTTTTACAAATCACGTCTTGTACAAGACGGTAATTGAACCCAGGTTACTTTCACTGTGCGAGCAAAATAATGGTTACGGTAATATACGAACGGTGAAAATTAGAAATTAAGTTAGAAAACAAAACATATGCGTTGCATATGTATACATAAATGTTGTAATTTGTATACAGCTTGTTAATGGCGAATTTTAATAAGATATACTTAATGATATGAGAATAGGTATCCCAAAAATGTGTATTAAAAATGCGTTTGACTTATCTTCAACAAGGTCTTTGCGAGCGGTGCCGATCGTCTTACCGAGTCAAAATTTAATGAACTCTCTTTAAAAATTGTTCAACTAAAATACTACATTTTCTTTCTGATATTAAACCGCAAAAGTTTCAGTTTTTTTCGGTTTTTTCTCAGAAGTATTTCGAAAAGTGCGCAGGGAAACGCACTAATAGATTTCCCGTGGCCTTTCCACCATCGTACCACCAGATAATTGGCAAACGTCACCGCTTCACAGTGGATATCCCACTCACACCGATTTGCCTTCAGTTTTTTCATCACAACCGCAAAAGATTCTTTGCCGTATTTTGTGTTCCCCGAAGGACGCGTGCTTATAGGTGAGTCTGCTCTAAAGTAGCTAGTCATTACATATGATAAAAAAACAATAATGGGAATAAATCTAGAGTTATCAAATTGTCATATAGCACGATTCATGGGATGACATAATTGACTCTTATGATGTAATACACAGCTATTATACCTACCTGACTTACCTACATTGAAGGCCGTTAAGTTACCAAAACAATACCCCGCAGTGTTAATAGAGTTTTGTTTGTCACAAAACATTTTCCACCCCATCTGCATTGCAGCAAAATGTATCCCGACCAACCGTTTCATTGTTATTCTTTTAGCTTCTATCTGAAAAGTTCGGATGAAATATCTTTATGGACTAACGAACATCACAACTCAACTTACAGCGATATACAGATGTCTCTGAGTTTTTGCTGCTTATTGTGAGATTGTAATAAAACTAAAGCGAGAACTGAGATACTTGGGTTTTTTCTTTTTTCCGTGTGGCTGATAGAAAAATGATTCTACACCTACATAATTTTTGATCCACGTCACAACAACCGTTTACATTATCTAGACAAACATGGAAGTCACACTCATAGTGAAAATTGGTAATAACCTTGAGAAACTCGATGCCAAATCTAGAAAGCAATTGATATGCACTTTAACTACTCAGAATTATAATACCTACAGGCTAAACGTTTACCTAAATTATGATTTAAGGAAAACGGCGTGTGCTAAATATACTATTTACAGTATGGTTTTCGGATATGCTATTCTTGTTCACATTAAACACGGTTCATTTGTCCGTTTATGAGTTCAAGGTTCACAGACATTCATGTATGTTACGCGTTCGCGTTTCTAGTTCGATTCAGTTGCCTTGCTCATTTCTGGGTCACCGGAGATCCAAGCAATCTTGAGGATAACATTCAGAATTGTGCTCCCTGTAAACTCTATAAGGACGCAATTTCGCAAAGAGGCTTTTGATGTAGGGTTTATAGTCAATACAATTCTTGAATTGACTGCAAATATCTTTCCTGTTTTAAAAAGCTCTCTTCATTAGAATATGGTTCGTAACGCTAAGATATTTCAACTTCATTTCGCCTAATTGGCATCTGTTTTTAATCCTTTGGTAATTAATCTAATGTAGTTTGTTGATTAGTTTTCAAATTGATCGTAAGTTTAAGGCTTCCGGTCATTTTAAAAAGTGATTGCAATTTATATATTGTTGAATGTATCAAAGCATTCCGCCTGCCTTTAATTAGCTGAGAGTTTTAATGGGTTTTATTGAAAGACCGAAAATTTCGTCAATGCGGCACTTCATCCGAAATTAAGAGATTAAAATAAATTGTCAGTTTATTTTAAAATTAAATTCATTGCTGTAATTTTGATTCCAATAACTCAAGAGCAGCTCTTGTGGCATCTTGACAACTTTCTCTACATAGACAGTTTTTTCAGGCTAATTTCTTTCCATTGAGTCGAGTTATTTTGGCAGTGTTTGGTCATAAAAACAGCAAACAAAGCCTAGATTGCCGAACTTTCACGATACTGTTACTTTATTCCAGCTTAGTTTTATTGTAGCCCCGCTGCCAACTGTCGCATCTGGTTTTAATATTTCGTATTGGATAAAGGTCTCTGTATTTTCTCTGGCCTTGTGATGTTTCGCTTCCTCTTACAATCCAAGTAAAGCTTTTAAGTGTAACCGTTTTACTTATACTTCTTACTTACCTGTCGTCTATAAACAAGATTAAGTAGACAAGGGTTAAACGGAGCGTACCCCCTTGGGAGGTTTTAGAACTTAGTTGAAAGGATTTAGGGGTCTAGAAACTTAGAACAAACTTTCCGAAAGATTAACTAGATTTTTTGCTAAAGGCAACTAATATTAATTTTAAAATGGTTCTCTAATGTCCGTTCTTTAAGTGACACGTGAATGATATCCAAAGCAAATAGCATAACCTCGTCAATCAATCAAACGACGGCCTATCGCTATTCACCGCTCATTGCTGGATGTAGGCCTCTCCCAAGTGACCTCTTACGAAATAAATAAATTGCTCCTAAGATGACATAACTGCTGGATTTATACCATCTATCATGGAAAGGATTGCTTGAGCTTGGAATAGGCCCAAAACAAATCTAAACATCTATCGTCAATAAACCCTTTTACAGAATGTTTCATCGGGATATTTGATATGTACGTATTATTTTTGTTAGGAATATTTTTTGAAAGCGAAATAAGTTATTGGGTTTTATGATAGTTATCGAGATATCTATATCGATTTAATTTGACCTTCAGAAGTCGTCAGAAGACCTGCTTTAATGTAAAGTGTTAGTGACTATATTTAAGTTCAAACATGAAATAGTGAAGAGCTGAACATCGAGAAAAGATGCCTATGTCCAGCAGTGGACGACAACAGGCTGATGATGATGATGATGATGATGAAATAGTTTTTGAGACTATATGAAGTTTTTTTTGGTATCTACGCAGTTTATGTTAGTGTACTATGTGTTTACTCGATGTCACGATAACGTCCAAAATCGCAACACTTTACAATGTGTGTCGACGCAGTTGCCAAATTATGTGCATAGAAAATGCTTGAATGTGAGCCTAGTGTTGGTAGTGCTCCATTATCTTGTTCCATATGCTTAAAATCGAATAAATATAACATAGAACATATTATCCAGTCTTGTTAAGGAATATTCACCCAACTGTAACCAAAATGAACAGTAAATATTAATCTCTCCATTAACCTATTACGCTGCTACTGTGTAGTTAAGAGCAAGTTAACAACAATAGTTCAACGGGGTCGCTTTGAAACAAGCTTTCGAAGCCCTAGCATCGTTCTATTTCTGATTTAATAGTATAGTAGTGACGTAATTAGATAGTTTGGAAACAGTCAATGAGAGCAACGCTATTTAAATTCTGTCTAGTACAGTACAGAGAAAATATTGGGCCAGTCTATTTTCGATTTGCTCTTGTCTTATCTGAAATCTCCTTTTGCAAAGTTGGTTACAAAGAATAGAGCTGGGATGAATGCTTACTGTAACGGATTAGGTGAGAATTACTTGTTTGATTAGATCGTACACAATCTCTCTATAATTAGCGGCGTCTTCACATGTCCGTCCCTTATTTACCTTAATGAATGGCTATTCTTCAAAAGACTCCAGGGCTTTCTCTCCATCAATCTTTAAGCCTACTCCCAATACGGCTACTCACTCACTTCACATATTAACACCAGTTCTGCAATATCGATTTGCGGTTAGTTTGTGCAATCAATAAGGGCGATAACGAATGAATCATGCAGCATGTCTGCGGTCAAGGATCCGCCGCGTATCTCATCGCTTTGACATAGCCAATTTGTTAAAAGTTCGTCTGACTGATTGTGGACGAGTTCTTCTGTTTTCCGATTTAGTAGTCCCAGGATAGTAGTGAAATGTTTAACATAGCTTGATACTTATAAGTTAAAACTGGATGATGTCGGAAATTAAAGTTCTAAATGTGGAAAACCTTTTCATAATAATATCTAGATTCAGAACCTGAGCGTTCAAGAGACAGTTAATTGTCGTAAAGTATGCCACGCCGCAAGTCACTTCAAATAAGGCAAGTCGGTAGCGACATCGGCATTAACGTCTGAACAGCCTAG